AGTGCAGTGTTGCATGACAATATTACCCACATGTATGCGTTTCATTTGACTTATGTTTTTAACACTAAAGTAATCATTTATAGAAGCATTTTGCGTTTATAATTACACCGCCTGTAAACTGACATTGGGAAAGCTGCAATGAAGCCTCGAAACACTAACGATATACATTATAATAAGGCCCTACGACGATTTATTTCGTAGCCGTCTTGTTAAGTGACATGAATGCAGTAATACCTTTGCCGCGGATATTTTACCACTTTTATTGCCTTTTTGATTTTCCGTAAGATTACTAAAATCTGCTGGATGTTGACCACTATTACGCGATAGAAAGTGCATTCTTCTTGATTCAAAAAGGAAGAAGTATAAAAGTAAGTAAGGAAAATAGAAAAAACGTAAAAGAAAATCAGTTCTTATCCGACACTCTCAGCCAAATCATATTTTCTTGCTGATACGCTACAATAACTTTACGTGTTACATCTCGTTCGAAGTCTTTTTCGTTCTCAATTTACTTGAAAGTTTCAAACAGTGTATTTTTTGCATTTTCTTAACCTTGTGTAAATTCTGTAACAGTTTATTTCCACTGTTGCGTTGCATTAGTTTTTTCTAGCTTCACCGTTTTTTCTTAGTTCGTGTATTTTTTGCGTTTTACTTAAACTTGTTAAGGTTCTGTAACAGTGTGTTTCTATAGTTGCTCTTTTTCTTAGTTTTTTAGGAAACTAAGGAATGTAGAGATCATCCATGCGGGTAGATCGTGAGAACATCTTTTAATAGAAGGTCCTTTCGTTTATGGCTATTTAATACCTCAAATAGAAACAATTAATTCGAAAGTAGCCATGTTTCAGTTTCATGGGTGTTATTGTCGTGGTTGTATTCGTTGTTTTTCTAACAATTGATATCAAAAATTTAATAATAACGAAACTTTCACGGAACTATACGAAAATACGATGGAAACAAGTTTTACAATAAAAGAGTACGGCTACGAAATGATTGAGATGTGGGAGCACGATTTTGACCAATTTATAAAAAAATAATAACGAGTATTTGGACTATTCAAAAAATCACCCAATCGCAAAAATCTGTACTTCTAACCCTCAAGATGCTTTTTATAGCAGTTATATGGGAAATATTGTTACACATTATACAGTTAACGATAATAAAAGAATTAAATATTTGAAAAAGTTGCTCAATACAATCCTATTTCTCAAAGTGGTGGTTTATTTACAGAGTATATTAACACTTTCTTAAAAATTAAGCAAGTGGCTGGTCCCAGTACGGTTACGATGAAAGAAGATTAATTAGAATACATAAATAATCATGACCATAAAGGAGGTATCAACTTGTATATCAGCAATATTCTAAAAAATCGGAAAATTCGGTCAAAGAGTAAATTTACCTCAAACTAGTATAGTTTTGAATTATAAAGAGTTATTGCAGACATTATGCGATGGTGAAAAGTACGGAGAAAATTGTCTACCAGCGAGTTATAGTGGTATGTATGTAACGCGGTGATATAAGGAGGAAGTAGTGCTTTTTTTCCCGTGTACAAACATTGCTGTAACTTCATGTACGATAGCTCAAGCACGTTTAAAACTGTACTCGTACTTGGAAAAATTTGATAGATGAGTTTTGTACTATCATACACATTCATTAATATTTACAAAAAATAATATAATGAAAATGTCAGCGAATATAAAAAAACCTACCGGCTCGTTATTAGTACAGTAAACAGATTAATTAGAGATGTATGGTAAAGGATCGTGTACAGAGACCTTTGTTTCAGGAGGTCCTAAATTTTATGTGTACCGCGTGCGTACACCTAGTGCGGGATGTCATGATGTATGCAAAGTTAAGGGTACTAAATTGAGTTACGAAAATTCATTAAAAATAAATTAAGATTCTATTGTAATTATGGTTGAACAATAGAATAAAAATAACGGAATTAGACAATACAATAAAAATTAAAAATACGATGATTAGAAAGTCCAACATACTTTAAGTGGTAACGCGTAATGAAGATAAAACATGTGCGATAGTTTTAAAAAAGCGGCGGTTTATGTTGGAAACCTTATCGTATACTCTCTGTTATGAAAAAATAAATAAAAACAAATAAAATATTTTTGTTGTAGATACCGTTCGCAAAATCAAAAAAATCTGTGCATGCTCGAAAAAAGGCATAGTCTTCATCTTAAACTAAGAAATAGCATAGTTCGTGTCCAGACTAGAAAAAAGGGCATAGTCTTTGCTCGAGACGTCAAAAAGGCATAGTTTTTATCCAGTACCAAAAAGATTATGGTCTTGGTCTGGATCGTCGACATTTCTAGTATATCCAGAGCATTGATATACTAATTTAAAAATACAGATCGAACACACTCCTGAGTCACACAATGCTAAGTTAAATCATTTAAAATTTGGCATTGACGGTAAATGTGGTTTTTTGGAAGTTTGTTCAAGTATACAGTCTACTAGAGATAACAATTTAAATAAAAATTTCAATAAATCTACTCTATAATAGTACAAAGAGGGCATTGTGGCCAAAAAATACAACATTCAAGGTTAAGCTCCAAGTGTTGAAGAAAATTATGTAAATGTGATGTAATTATGGTCAGAGTTAGATATAAAGGTAGGATACGGTTCCTTTGCCGTACTTATACATTTAATGATTGGTGTCATCAATATGCTATTTTGGCATGTACTGACAGTGTTTTCAAAAAACTTAGTAAATGGGAAGAACAATTTTATTTTAACCGAGAAATAATACCTGGCAGTCCTACTTTTGAAAAAAGTAATTAAGACAAACTGCTTGTTAATACTTTTCAAAAACTTAATGACGTAGTGAAATCTTGTTTCACCATCACTTTGAACCCAAACTTTGTGTAATTTAATGATGAATTTATGAAAGTATATTAAACCTTGAATATTTTAATAATGCTTAGAGTCCATGCGGTTTTTTTTTTATGTAAAAGAATTTCGTATAACACATAAAATGGATCTAGGTGTGTATACTGAGCAAGATGTTAAGGTCATTTATTACGATTTTTTAGTGACCAGAGCAGATTGTGATCTATTATAATGTGTCTGAAAATAGTTCTGATAAAGCAAAAAAGTTACTCAGAGTAGTTATTACAATATTGTGTATTTACAACATTATGTATTAAAACAAATCTTACTAAATGAAATGTAAAACTGTTTGTATGATGAGATATAATTTCCTTTGTATGTGTATATGTGGCGACGAAACCAGGTCCACCTTTAATACGCCGTCAGAGTAAGCATAAGTTGGCGCCAAGAGAGCTCTTCTGGGAAGATGACAAAGGTTCCGTCTCACTTTCTCCAACGGCGGAGCAGTAGTAGCGCTGCGCCTGATCACTGCGGCTCTACAAATGTTCCAGTCTTCTTCTAATGGCTATAACATCAACCATGGGCACCCACAACTGAGGGACTCAACGCTGGCGCCTCGCTCTGTTCCCTCTCGGCCCCCGACCTAAAAGTACGACCAACGCTGGCTACACGATGTGAGTACGAGGGGCTCGGGCAACCGTGAAGTTCAAAAAATGAGAGACTTCAACGAAAACATTATCAAACTGACTTTTATTTTTATTATCCTTCATCAGTGCTTATGAGTGATTATTATACGTATCAAGAATCGATTGTTGTACACTTCAAGTTGTTATACCAGATTTATACATATGTGTTCTTTCAGTGTTCATCAGTGTTCTTTCATTCAAGCCCTCATACTCTCACACAAAGTGCTGCACACAGAATTAATAAGTGGTGACCTCGAGTGCCAAAGAACTGTGTTGTGTAAGAAAGCGGCCATTTTCAAAGACAAAAAAAAATCTCGTGTCAACAAGTGTGCATGTGAGTAGCGAGAGGTGAAGTTCAAGAGACAATGGATATTCGTTTCGTTTTCATAAGCACAAGTTTTTTTCTCTCGCTTTCTCTCCCGCGAGTGATAATGCGGTGCGAGAGTCTTTGTGCGTGATCATCGGTGCCAAGGGGGCAAAACACGGAGATCCGTAGCTCATCCAGGGGCTGGGGGAAGAATTAGCAGGTGGAGCCGAGTGTTCGAGAGCCAAACACCAGGAAAAAGGTATTCGAGGCTTTATTTCTGCACGGCGGCATCTCAGCCAACATCACGGTTCACGACAACGACAGCCCTCTCTCCCCGATCCTACACGAATTTTCGCTTAACCTGGTCCCTGTCGGCGAGGATAAGCCGCTGAGAGAATTTTTGACGCAAGCTGTGCCTCTGGAGCCCTGCGATTTTCCTGGCGAGGAGCGGAGCGAGAGCATAATGGTGGACGGCGGTGAGCCGCTCCCATCCCCGCCATTACCATTGTCAACACCGAGCAGCCCAGGTGATCTCTCGCCGCTTGAGTCTCCAAACAAAGACGCATGGCAGGATGCCATTGCTAGTATGAGCGCGCGAAATCAAATGCCACAATTTTGGCGCGAGCACCCTAACCTCTGGTTTATCCAAGTGGAAGCCATTTTTGTCACGAATAATATCACTAATGACGCCACAAAATTCTACCAGGTACTCGCAGCGTTGGACATCGCGACTATTAAGGACACTGCGGACATTTTGGCGACTCCTCTGGCATCCGATAAATACAAATCGCTCAAAGAAGCAATACTCAAGTAAACTACGGCAACAGAAGAGCAAAAGTTTCATAGCCTTTTGACGGATCTTGAGCTTGGAAATAAGAAACTCTCACAGATGTGGAGAAAGATGAAGGACCTTGCCAGTTCTAAGATCGATGAAAATACGTTAAAGGTCAAATGGAAGTCTTTACTCCCGCAGAATGCCCAGAATATCCTGCAAATTTTCAAACCTTCGAAAACAGAGAAGCTCCTGGAAGCTACAAACACCATCGTTTGTTCCAATACACTGACAGTCTTGGCAACGCAGCACAGACGCACCCTGGAGGACCCACTGGTGTAACGCCGGGAATCCCTAGAAGCAACGATCCTCCAGATGGCTTGCAACAGGTACAACAATGGCGGAGATGGTGGTAGCTGGACTGGCCACTCCAACCAGCGCTCTCAACGATCTCGTTCAAGTGCCAGGTCAGTCTCCAGAAACCGCAGTCAGGCATCACAAAATAAATTTAGCACATGCTGGTACCACTAAAAATTTGGTTCAGACCCGCGTGATTGCCTCCAGCCCTGCGACTTCCAGAAAGACTCGCAGAACAAGCAGGGAAACTAACGCCACCCCGTCTGCAGGCGGTAGGGGTAGACGGCAAAGGAGAAGTCCGTCTGCATCTTTGCAATCGACGCAATGATGTATGTTTCCTCGTCGACACTAGCTCAGTCGTTTTTCTCATGCCTCCTCAATGGTCCACTGAGGGCCTAAAGGAGCAGCAGCTAACTCTCTACGGAGCAAATGCCTCACCAATCCACACGTACGGTAGCAAACGTCTAATGTTGAACCTAAGCTTGAGACGCGATCTGGATTGCGAGGTTATCCTGGCTGACGTCCTCCATGCGATTTTGGGCGCGGATTTCCTGGCAAAGCATGAATTATTAGTGGAACTCAAAAATTGCTGCCTGATTGACCCACTCACCGGGTTGTCCTCGAGGGGTATGCTTGGATCGGCAATACTACACACTGTTTCCACGGTACTCCCTCTGTCACACACGCAGAACAGGGCCTACGCTCATCAACATGCAGCCCTCCTGCAGGAATTTGCAGACATTTTGAGATTCAACACAAAGCCGATTCAGACGCCAAACCTCCCAATTAGGCACATAATAGCTACAACTGGCCCACCTGTGTTCGAGCGTCTACGCAGGCTTGTTGGAGAAAAACTGGCAGCAGCTAGAAGAAAATTCGACAGCCTACTGGAGAAATGTATAATACGCCCGCCATCAAGACAGTGGTCAAGCCCTCTACACATGGTGAAGAACAAAGACGGTACGTAATAGGTTACGGGAAATTATCGGCAGCTGAATGCGTGTACAATGCCCGACCCCTTACCCAATATCCAGGATCTACTCCAAGAAAGCCAGGGCAATGTCTTCTCAACGCTGGACTTAAGGAAGGCATTTTTCCAGATGCCTATGGTAGAAGAAGACATTGAAAAAACAGCCATGACAATACCGTTCGGGCTGTACGAGTTCCTGGGAACACCATTGGGCCTGCGTAACGCCGCCCAGTCCATGCAACGTACGATGGATTTCATCCTGCGCAAGCTTCCGTTCCGAGCCTATGTCGACAATACAATGGTGACCTCTTGGAACCACTATGAACATCATAAGCATCTTCGAGAGCTGTTTGGAGTACTGCGCGTCTGCAATCTACGACTGAACGGAGACAAGTGTTGTTTTGATCGTGCGGAGGTAATTTATCATGGTTACCTGGTATCCAAGGACGGGTTCCAGCCACCGGCCGCTAAAATCGAGGCCATCAAAGCTTATACAAAACCTTCTACCGCCACAGAGCTGTGACGCCTGCTTGGCATACTAAACTATTATCGACGCTGCGTCTCCGATGCAGTGGAAGCCCAGGCGCCGCTGCATGACCTTTTAAAGGGTCTGCCCAAGAAGGCCACCATTACTTGGACACCATTTCTTTGCTGCAAGAGCGACATCACCGAGGCAGCGCGCATGTTTCCTTCAGCCGGGTGCAGCCCTGGCTCTTCGGGCTGATGCGTCAGATGTGGCAGTAGGAGCGGTGCTGGAACAGCAGCACACCCCGGATGTAAATGTTCGCGATCGTTCATTCATCCATTCTCGATTTACAAAGGTCCACAGTTTCATGCATAGTTACACTCATACTGCTTTTTTCAGTGTCTTTTCACTATACATCTATTTTCACTAAACTTCACTTTCTTTTTGTGGACGTAAGTTGTAGCGTTGATATGGCTCCTCAAGATTTTCGGGTGGCTGTGCTGAGACCTTTTTAATAGGGTAGCAGAGTATAAGATATATAAGTTCCTTATTTTTTAAATTTTTCACGCACTGCTTCGGTAGTCTGTAAAAATTAAACAAGGACAAGATCAAGACAAAAGTGTCAATTAAACACAAGAAAACATAAACGTAACAGAAGAACTACATGCAAGCAAGCGATCACTGATGATATAAATGTTAATCCAGTAGTAAAAATTAAGTACAAAAGCTAAAATAAGTAAATGGCAAGTGAACAAGAAAAATTGAGTGCATACAAACACAACACAAAATATTTAAGAAAAAGAAGAGGAAAAATATCTGGCGAAGAAAAGTGTTAACAATAAAAGTAAAATTAAATCTAGTACATTCCATACAAAAATAAAAAGACTGTTATAAATGTGAAAATTGTGGACGTATGGCAAGAGCATGTCATCAAATTCAATCTAACTATCAACAAGGTGCTCAAGTCGGAAACACGCAGAGAGGGAGAGGGTAATACAGAGGCAATAGCAGAAGCAGAGGTACTTATAGACAAAACAGAACAACTAGCATTCCTAATTAATTTGAAAAATGGGGTTTACAATTTTAAAAAGACAGGTCAAGTAAAAATAAGTAGCAGTTGAGCCAAACATAGGTCAGCTCAGTTTAACAAGGTATATTAGAAAATCAAGACCAAGCACTTCGGATTTTCCGCCTTTGATGATTTAGATAAAAATGCTGAGTATCTTAAAACTAATATAACTTCTAAAGAAGAGGACTACTTCTATATTAAGAAGTATGAATGTTAGTGACTTTGAAAAATATATGCTAAATTTTTATACGAGTTACTACCGACCGCACTAACACAGTTGGTAAATAGATGAAGTCCAAACCAACTTTGTTCTTGCATCAGACTACAGGACTAAAAAATAAAATTTTTTACCCCTGTTTTCAGGCTGAGCATAAAATGATAAATTATGACGCGTTCAAGAGTTTGAATATGAAACAAAAAAAAGGTGTTGTGATAAAAAGAGACACATCTGTAAAAACTGTTTTGGGCAGAATTATGTCAAAGACTTCAAATCTAGTTTTTGTTGCTTGAAATGCAACGATAAACATCATCAAACAAGCACTCTCCTAGCTAAGATAAATCTCAAGAGGAAAGTTTAGGTATTTTAAATTTTTGTAATCGAATAACTAATGCTGAAAAAACTAACTTAAAATACGCAGTATGACACGAAATTGTAACCTATATTTATAGCTACTGCTAGAGTATACGTATCTGTGAAGACTAAAATACTGGTAACAGCTCTAGTAGATCTTTGTTCTCAAACCACTTTGATCTCTTAATCTCTTTTTAATTTATTGGAGCATAAATATGAAAAGGTTATTATTTTATTCAGGGGCAAAGGAGATGAAGTATTGACAGCTGATAAAATATTGGTAGAATTTAGTGTAATAGTATATTACGTACCAAGGGACTAAAGCAAGCCAGTTCGTGGCTGTTGTAGTGTGCGCCCGAGCGTAGCGAGGGCGCTACAAGCAATAGCCACTCGCTGGCTTGCTTTAGTCTCGCGGTGCGTATACACTTTTATATCACACTCAGTGGAAAGTTCGTTACATTGAGAGGGAGAGAGATAGAAGGAAAACAAGCCATTCATTGTGTGGTTATAGGTTATATCACAAGAGTTTTTATAATTGTTTCCGATTGTGATATTTAGGATATTCCTGTATTTTTGTATAAAATATGGCAACAGTTTCGACAGTCATGTTTGAAGAGGATTCTTCTGACGAAGAAAACTTTAACGAGGATAAAGTAGGGGAAGGAAGAGACTTTGACTGTGAACGAAATGCCATTGTTCAAAATTTACTTCCCATAAAATCGAGAGCATTATATGAATATGCATACGCTCGATTCTTACAATGGAAGCATAAGAACAAGGACCTAATTATTTAACTCTTTTAATGAATGTGTTTCGAAATGTAATAATTTCAATAGTTTATTATACAAGATTGATAAAAATGAAGAACTGTAAAAATGCAGTTATTATTTAAAAATGTGTGAACAAAGAAAATTGTATAACAATTTTAATTATTTCCATTTGTTCAGAATCTCATGTTTTTTTTTGTATAAAATACACCAGCAAACAGTACATTGGCTTCTTTTATCTTGTTGATATTTCCCAAATTTGTTTGTTTACTGCAGTGTGGCGCCCTCGCTATGTTCGAGCACCGAACTACTTCAGGCACTTATTGGTTTATGTATATAGTAATATACAGTAAGATATAGATACGCATGCGTACACGCACTTATTACACAGTTTCTGTCCCTGTATACAGGGAGAACAGTACGAACTTTACGCTTAGTGTGATATAAAAATACATTTTGACTCCTAATGTTTTACTATTGCACTCGTGGTACAAAAAGATTCATCGTACTATCCCCCTAATATCTGCACAGTTTCTTATTTCTAGTGTGTGCACAATGTTCAATCGGCTACTCCAGAGATTCAAAAAATGATGTTAATAAAATTAATTTGCTTGTAGATGCAGACGTATAAAGTAGCTTAGGGAATATTTTTTAGGATAGAGTCACGTTTTCAAACGAAAACGAGGCTACGAGATATTTATAGTAATTTTATTAAGAAAAATATGTGTATACATAATACTTAAACCATGTATGATTGGCTACTTAACCAGAAACCTCTGAAGCATACTACCAACCTGACCATAGAGCTTCCAAAGATTCTATTTCTACCACAATATAAAGGGTCGTCTTTAACAGCTCCAATTCAACAAAAAAGAGTCTCCTATAAAATTCCTTTTTGTAAGCTGGTACTAACTTGTTGCCAAACTTATTTGATCTTACCTTGAAATAAAGAAACTACCAAGTATTTTTGGCTAATGCCATAAACATTTTTTTCCAAACTTTGGATCAGGATCTAGATTAATTTTATAAATTTACAATTTAAAAGGATTCTCCAGACAAGCCTTTCAGATTTTTTATTGCGCAGTATGACTTAGGGCTAAGTTATTTCGCCCTTTTTGTCTAATAAAATGCTTAAAGAAATTAAAGATATAGAGATACAAAATGATGGATAGCCACTTAGTAGTGACATTATTAATCGGGTAGTATAGTATGTATGCATGATTTCTTGTCTGGTGGTTTTTCTCAGGATGAATCGAGGTTAAAGGTTGATCAATTAAGTAAAATCGTAATGTAGTCAGAATTTTATGTTTAGCTACTTTTATACTTCCATACGCAAATGTCATCGTACACGTATGCAATACAATCAAATAAGTCTTACTAGGAATGGCTTGCGATTCTCATTTGATCATATTGCGTACGTGTACGATGAAATTTGTATATGGAAGTATTAAAGCAGCTAAACATGTAACTCTGACTACATTACGATTTTACATTTTTTTTTTTAAGAGTCAGAGGTTTGTTATGTGATTAACCCAATTTTTGTTTGTTGTATGTTATTGGAGTATGAATTTAAAAAATTATTTTCCTACTTATAGCTTTTTGTACCTGATGAGGGCTGGGATTCGACGTTGTCAAAACTGCTGAAACGCTATTTTTTTTTTAATAAATATAGAAATATGGCAATAAAACTATAAGACGTTGNAAGACCTGAAAAAAAACTTAAAACCAAATGAGGGTCTCTTGGAGATAGATTATTCCAAAAATTACACATACGTGGCACAGAATGCTGATCAGCAATTTTACTATAACAATGACCAGTGTAGTATACATGTTGCTGTCCTCTATAATACGGAAGCACTAGGGTTAAAACACAACAGCTGTGTGTTGCTCTCTGACTGCACAACTCATGATACAATAGTTGTATATTAATCGCAATCGTATTTGGTTCCAGGTATCCGAAAAAAATGCCCAAAAATATTGAGACTTTTTTATGTGTCAGATGAAGCAGTGAGGCCCTTTAAAAATCGGTACCAAATGGTTAACTTAGTGAACCATCCGAAAATTTTTTTTTGAAGGCAGAATGGCATTTTAATGCTACGGCACACGGCATGGCAGCTTGTGACGG